GCCATAGAGGAAAACACACATACATATCTACGGTTTAAATTAACATTACAGCATGTCTATTGTAAAAGCTCTTTTGTTTTGATTATGAATTGTATTGGGGAGAAATGAAATGCAACAGGTGGCTTAGCAGCCATACTTTATATAATAATTGCTAATGCCCATATTTGCATTTACAATGTGTGCACATATTATTCTCTCACTATTTATAGTTTCTATTAATTGTTACTATGTTCAGCGGCTACCTAAATACCGTTTAAGCTTAAAAGTATATAAAAACATATTGACACACCTTTCTCAGGAAATAACAATTTTCTCTCGAAATAAATTAGGACGAGCATAAACGCCAACCGACCGGTGGTGAAAAAGCGTTAGAACTATTTCCAAAAATTAAAAACCCCACAGAGTTTCTATAACAAAAGACAACTTTTAAAAGCTTACTTTAACAGCTGTTATCACTGTTAAATTATTCTATCGTGAGCAATTACAGAAAACAGTGTGAACAGTCAATTATTGACACAGCGAAAATTATTTTATAGTGATCAATTTCAGTTGTGTCTATTCTAAGAATAATAAATAAATAAAAAAAAATAAATAAGTAACGAGAATGGAATAAACCGCCAATTAAAAGCTTGCCATTCACAAGTAAACGTTGCGCCAAATTGAACGAAAGAGCACAACCAGGGATAATCATTAAACGAGCGAGTCTGAAACGCTGCAGCCCTGGTGAAGATACTGTGCGCGTTGCAAGTAAATTTTTGACTGCCTTATTTTCTGAACTATTTTGCCAACTGTGCGAACAAAAGCATCATTGCTGTGTCGCAGTTCGCATTGCACAACCTCAAAACGTCTGATCAGTGCGCTGTACCGTGCTGAAACGCGATTGTAAACATGTCCGAACGCTCCAAAGGTGACGTGTCGTCGTCGTCGCGCGTCAACAACAATGCAAGTCGAATTGTTAAAAATCCACTGCTCAGCGCCTCGGTGACGGGTCTCAGCTATGATGATTTTCCCAATAAGCCGCTCCTGTTGCCAGCGGCACCGCCTGTGGTGCACCATGCACCACCTGCACAGCCAGCTAACGCTCTCATCGCTGGCATTCTCAAACGCGGTAAGTGTGTCAGACAAAAAGAGAGAAAGAGAGAGAATGGAGTTAAAGTTTTTGACAAAGAGAGAGAGAGAGAGAGCGCAACACACATAGGGAGAGCAGCGAATCAATTGTCACTTGTTGCTTCCATTCTCCACATTTCGACTGATAAGCGTTAACAGTTAACGGTATTTTTATTGGGCAACACTTAAAGTTCGTCTCTACATATGTATTTAGTTATTGTAGTTGTTATTTTTGTATTGGCAGCTTCTCGCTCTCTTAATCTATTCCATGCTGCGTGTCGAGTGCGAACGATACGTGGGCAGCTCCAGTGATACCTTGCGTCGCTTGCAGCACCACATAATACTCCAAATCAGGAGCACAATCAGCAACAGCAGCAGAATGGCGCCCAAACAAATGGCAGCGATTGCCGCCTCCGTCAGCACAATATCTCGAACATCAATGTTGATGCTGCGCTGATTGCCCGCTGCGTCGAATGCCGTTAAGGCCACCTTCGGTTCACAGCAGGAGGCCATATAGGTGGCCTTCATGGGCTCCGTGGTGCCGGCCGTATAGTAATTGCGATAGAACAGACCATCCGCGGGCGTTGACTGCAAACGCAATATGCCCGATTGCCAGTCCTGGGCAGTCACATCCAGCGTCCAGAAGCGATCGCCGCAGTTCTGTTCATCGCTCTTCACATAGTCACAGCGATTGCCAAACTCCCAGGAGAGATTGGGACCAGTCGTGTCCTGAAGATATATTAATATGTTATATAAAACTGTGGCTAGCTGTAGAATTTTCTGCAATATACCTGCGCGTCGATGCTGGACACGACCTTTAGGCTAACCGCCAAGGTGGCCGTTTCTGTGCCATAGCTGGTGAATGTGACTCTGTCCGTGGTGCCGGGCGAGGTGCCCGTTGGAGCCAGCACAGTCAGACGCACGGTGCTCGTCTCCCGTGCACGCAAATAGAAGCTGCAGGAGAGAGAAAGAGTTTGCATCAAAAATATTCCAATCTCCAGTTTCATTGCTCACTCACCCCGTTGGGCTTAGCTGCACTAGGAAGCGCCGCTCGTCCGTCACTTGCACCGTTTGATAGACACGCTCCGCACGCATATTGGTTACTTCAAACAGCAGCGTTGCGACCTGACCCGCATTCAGGAGCAGCTGCGACTGAGTATTGAGTTCGATTTTGGTGCCGCAGCGCTGCAGCAACATGGCATTCAAACTGGCGCGCTGTGGTTCGCCCGTGGCAGCGGCAAATTGAGTTTGATTCAGACTCGTCGGTGGCTGCACTAGCTCAGTTTCCGAGAAGGTTTCCACTTCGCTTTTGGGTGAATCCACATCGTTCTCTAGCTTTTCCCGCGACTCCGGAAACTTGAGCTTAGCCGAACGCGCCAAAGAAGCCAGGGGACTCTCGTGCACAGCATGGGAATAGTAGCTATCGATGCGTTTGATAATTTCACCTGTAATCGAGCAAAGAAATAGTAATTGAGCTGACCGGAAGTAGTTTCTAGAAGCAGGATTCCGATAATATTTATGTTGTTGTTGTTGCTGCCGTTGGTGCAGAAAAGCAGCTCTTTGGATGGCGTCAACAATCATTCCGCTCAAATGACGCCCAAGGTTGATACGGTTATCAAGCAAAGGCGAGCAGCGTTATCTCTACAAGCGAGCCCCGAGCACCGGTTAGCTTGTTGTTGTATTTATTTTTGTTTTTCCATGTTTTTTTCGTGGTTCAGAAAACGACGCATCTTAATTATATTTGTTCAGTTATATGCGTCCAGCGCGCTTGCCAAGTTGCCTTTTAATTGATTAGCTGTGTGTTGAAACTTACCAAGGAAAACATCTGCTTTACGCTCGGCGCGTATGAAAACATTGTAAGCGGCACTTGGAGATTCCGGCGTCAGCTGCAGCTTGAGGATTGTTGCCTTGCGCAACTTGTTAAGCGGTACGTAGGCATCCAGTTCATCGGGGCTGGTATTTTGTGTATCATTACTTGACTTAAATTTGACGTGTTTCTTTAAATTGATATCTAAACGAAGACAAAGAGAGAATGTAATGCACACATAAACAAATTAACAGGTGTATTTTTGCCATTCACTGCGAATGGTGTGCACAACAGCTGTTTGGCATGCAGCGTTGCCAGACTGTTGGCCTGCACATTGTGTACATAATCAATATATATTAATTAAATATTGTGCGCTCCAAAATTCCAAAAACGAGTGCACAGAATTGCAGTAAGTTCATGCAGGGAGTTGTGTAATTTATTATCATTAGATATAATTATTAAATATTTGTATATAACAGCTCTTGAGCTGGCAACTCTACGCTGAGCAGCTGCTATGTTATGGCTCTTATTCGTAGTGTTGTTGTTATTGTTGTGCAAGGAAACTACTTCTGCAAAACATTTAACATATAAACGATTGTTTTTCGAATTGTGAAATCAAGCAAATCACAAAAATCATAAATAATTGAATAACGCTGAAGTGTTAAGTGCGGAACTGCGCCATTTAATTTTTAAACAAAGTCAACTTGTTAACTGACATGGCCCGCGGCGTAATATAAGATTACCAATTCGTGTGCATCATCAACAAAGTCGCCTTCGATTTTGGTCAGAGGCTACTTTTGAACTTGGCCATGGCAGTGGGAAAATGCATGCCAGCCGACTAATTGTGTATGTATTTGTCTATTTAATTGTGACTAATGCTGCAACGTCAAAAATTTGGCAACAGTTTAAACAAATGACTATCTAGGTTTTTATGAATGTGTATGTGCGTAAGTGTGTTTAATAAGTTATATGAATTTTATATTGAATATTTTTTAATTTTCATAGTTATAAAAATACAATGTGCAATACATTCAACATTGTGGCAGGCAACTTCAATTGATTTGTACAAAAGGAAAAGGTTAAAACGGCGCTCGCGCTGTATGTGTGCGTGTGTGTGTATGTGTGGTAGCGTGTTCTGTGATTGTGTGCGAGTGGGATTGTGGGCTGTCATCGGTTGCTTGCTCTCTCTCTTTCACTCTCTCGGAATAACTTCCGTAATTCTATAACTGTGTTTATGCCAAAGTTCATAATGTAGTTATGATAAATAAACAGTGCAAATAATGAATACAGCGCTAAGCAAATAACAATGAATGAATAAATATTGAAGGGAAGTAAGAACCGCTCAACTAGGCTTAATATGTTAAGGAATTTTTTAACTGATTTTAGTTAGATTTAATGTCAGCCTTTGACTCATAGAAAGTATAGTTTATCGATTAATTATTGATTATCGCTACACATATCGACTTTAAACTGTAGAATTTTGA